TACATTGAGACCTGCAACATACACATGTGATACAGAATAAGGTGACAAACCTATGTAAACAATTATGACCCCTTTATATTTGCGCATTCCATTGCAGGTGTTACTGCATTCATGTTAACAGGGGGTATTTATTGCATTCAGTGGGTTGCATTGAGTTATTGCATGCATTTTAATGTGTGATATTTTGCATGTTCCTTTTTTAAATGTACTGCACTACAAAGCGCAGATTATTTATCTGGCAGTGACAATTCTTCTGCAGGATGGAGGCTTCTATTTATGAAATGATACCTGCAGCCGGCATGTGCTCACTATGTCATAGGTGACATAATGAACACATACCTGAGAAAGACTCTAATTGGTTCCCTTTTGTCAGTGGGGACTTGAGCTCTGGGGATGACATTTATAAACGTATCCCCAGAAGGGGAAATCGTGCTTCAGAATATTTATTTAAAGACGTAAGGTTATAATTGGTTAAAGTATTACAGACATCCCAACTCTCCTGGGCACACTGGGAGTCTCCTGCTATTAGATAGCGGCTCTCAGCCGCCTGGGAGAGAAACATTTTCTCCTGGAAAGGTTTACTCTGCTGGATCGAGGAGAGTAAACCTTTCCCTGGGACTTGTTTTTGTTTTTTTCTGACATTAGAGCTGCCGGCTGCCGTCAGTCAGGAAAAAAAAAAAAAACAGCATAGGAATGCATAGTTAGATTGCTACTGGCTATTTCACTTTGCAATTCACTTTGCAACAGACTAGCTATTGCACCCGCCCTCTGCTGCCGTCATTTAGCAGAGGGGGACCTGAAGTTCTCCTTTAGGTCCTCTTATAGTGATTGACAGCAGCAGTAGTAAAAAGGACAAGACAACCAGGGTAGAGTCCCAGGAGGAGGAGAGGTACATGAAGAAGAAAGGAGAAAGAAAGAAACCAGAAAGAGCGCAAAGGAAGTAGGGTAAGAGCAAATGGCCCCCCACCAGGTAGCTCAAGGAAGCCTGCAGTCAGGCAGAAAGGGCATACTGGAGACCATCTGGGATTTGAAAAGCAATCCAGGTGGACTAGGTGTGAATATACTTAGCTCCAGCATCACGTTCTCCAAGGAAGAGGCCTTCTATGTCAGCTATATGAACCATTTCCACAGCCCATTCCACAAGGGTAGGGATCACTGATGTACGCCAATGGCGCGGGATGACTGATCTGGCTGCTGTTAGAAAATATCTCAAGAGACCCTTCTTCGCCGACTTGAGCGATCCAGGGATCATGGACAGCAACAGAATCTTGGGGTCATTCGCACTCACAGCACCTGTCTCATTCTATATTCTTTTCTTACAAACCAGGACACATATGCTAACAAAGCTACATGGGAAATACATGTTGGTGCTATGGATGAATGGCAGGACATTCTGGACTCCTCCAAATGTATCTCTCTATACCAGTGGTTCTCAACCTGTATAACCTCAGGACCCACATTTTTCCTTGGACATTAAGTGGCGACCCAAGTCGCACTGCAATGGAAAGCACGGCATCACGGTACCGTGCGTGCGAACCTCAGCTTGGGGTCCAGTGCTTGGCTGCTGTGACGGAGCTCTATCCATACATTCATTGCTTGTACAACTCCCTGGTGCACCCTGTAGGTCACATGAGGAAACTGTAAGCAATGCATGTATGGATGAAGCTCCCTTGCGGCCATACCTCCAGCCCACCCCTGCTCAAGCTGACACTTGGCGCCAGGCAGCATATTCTGAATGGCTGTTCACGGCAACAACTGATATTGCTAAACTAGGGGGAGGCTGAGGAGCCTCTCACATAGAAAAGTGGAAGGCATGTGGCAACCCACTGAAAACAAGGTCGCGACCCACCAGTTGAGAACCAAGGCTCTATACCACCCAAACTCACACGGGCATGTTTAATACACTGCAGTTTTCCAACTCCTTTAGGACTGGCTAACTTCCATAGGAATCAGAGCCTACTTTGCCCAAAATGTGGTAGCGCATGTGCATAGTTCCTAGACATGTGGTGCTCGAGCCCTTGACCTGAGGGATATTTGAGACAATGTTTCAGATTTATTCTTGATAAGTCACCTTTAGCTTATGACACAGACCTCTGCCAGTTTCAGTTATTAGATTTTAGACTCTAGTGTAATTGAAGTGCATTTTGCCTCTCTAGAAAGCTCCTCGCCAAATATCGGATAAGTAGTCGTATGCTTTCACACCCAGGTAAATGAAGTTGAAAAAAGATGCGATGCATTTAGTGAACTTGTGTGAATTCAAACCCAATTGGGCTTATAGTACATTTAACAGAGTGGAGCAGTGAAGTAACCCCTTCCTTTTACAACAGAAAACTTCTGCAGTAATCATTAAACCTTACTTTTTTTATTATCTTTTCTTTAGGGTGGCCAGACTTGCTGGAAAAAAAAAAAAGTTCCAATTTTTTTTTTAATTTCCACATCCTCAGGTGGTACCCAGACCACAAGCGTGCCTCCCCTGTACGGGTACCTCCATCAGCTGTGCAGGCACCCGCACCTAGCTATGTGTGTCCATAGTCATACACAGCGTGCAGCCAGCCATGACCCCCACCTAGGGCTGCAGCTAACGATTATTTTCATAATCGATTAGTTAGCCGATTATTACGTTTGATTAATCGGATAAAAAAGGCTCCAGTGATGGACTACTAGTTTGTATTGAGATTGTAGTCCATCACGGGAGCAAGCTTGGCGCGGTGGAAGTAAAAAAAAAAAGTGTGGTGTGCAATATAGAATATTATACAGCGGCGTAGTGCAGAATACCAGCAGCTATAGAGGAATGTAGCAATAGTACATTATACTATAATGTACTATTGCTGGGATTTGTAGTCCTCTGTAGCTGGCGTTATTCTGCATTGCGCTGTATATAATGTATTATTGCTGGGATTTGTAGTCCTCTATAGCTGGTGGTATTCTCCATTGCGCTGTATAATGATTAAAACTGCGCAATGCAGATTACCACTGACCAGTTATAGAGGAACTACAAATCCCAGCAATAATACATTATATAGGGCGCAATGCAGAATACCCCCAGCTATAGAGGAACAACAAGTCCCAGCAATAATACATTATACCGGGTGTTTAATATATTATTGCTGGGATTTGTTGTTCCTCTATAGCTGCTGGTATTCTACAGTGTGCCGCTTTTTTTTTTTAAACAGGAAACATTAAAACAGGTCCCCCTTACCTGTTTCTGAACCCTTGTAAGTCGCGGCGGCGTGGTCTGCGGGCGTGTGTCCGGCTTGTGTGGTGGGCGTGGCATACGCGGCGTGGTCGTGGCGTCCGCGGCGTGCGTAGCGTAACTCGTACCTGTTCCACCATAGCACCCCTGTTCCACAACGGCACCCCCACACAACTATTCCACCATTGCACGCCAATACAACTGTTCATCGCTGCACCTTCATACGCCTGTTCCACCGCTTCACACCCATACAACTGTTCCCCACAGCACCCCCACACACCTATTCCACTACTGCACCCATACACCTGTTTCACACAGCACCCCCCAGACTCCTATTCCACCACATCACACTCCTGTTCCACACTGCACCTCCATACCCCTTTTCCACCACCACACACACCTATTCCACTACTTCACACCCATACACCTGGTCCACACTGCACCCCCATACACCTATTCCACCACTATATCCCCACACACCTGTTTCACACTGCACCCCCATACACCTATTCCACCACTATATCCCCACACACCTGTTTCACACTGCACCGCCATACACCTATTCCACCACTATATCCCCACACACCTGTTTCACACTGCAGCTCCGTACACCTATTCCACCACTGACTTGCTTTCAGAAGATGGGCCCTCGATTGTCGGCGGGCCAGCGATGAGTGAGGGAGATCGCGTCGAGGAGAGCAGCGGCGTGCGCGGCTTATGCGGTGGGCACAGCGGCCGCAGCGTGTGGCTCAGGCCGCGTGTGGAGCCCCAAACAGGCAAATCAATCAATAGCCGACGAATTGACGATCGAAAGCGTTGCCAACGTTTTCAATCGTCGATTTTAGTCGACTAAATCGATTAACTGTTGCAGCTCTAACCCCACCCTGCAGTCACAGCTTGACTGACAGCAGAAGGAGCCTATGCTTCCTCTGCCCTCAGTACCCTCCCTCACATCC